CCCTACCCCCACCCATCTATCCTACCCTACCCCCTCCCATCCATCTCAAACCCTACCCCCCTCCCATCCATCACTACCCTACCCCCACCCATCCATCACCACCCTACCCCCACCCATCCATCACTACCCTACCCCACCCATCCATCACCACCCTACCCCCACCCATCCATCACTACCCTACCCCCCACCCATCCATCACCACCCTATCATGTGGGAAGTTCGAACACGTGGATTGGGTAAAGTAATACTCACGTAGGCTGGTAGTACGTATAATTACAGATAATGTGGGGAACGCCCTTACAGCCGTACCTATCTCTCTTGCTCCTCTCGTAACACTGACTGGCCGCCCACAGTACCCATATGTGAGGGGGTCTTTGAATACTGCTAGGTCAGCACAATATGAGTTCAGACAGTGACTCAGGCAGAGACGGTTGGTCGTGAGTCAACTGGCACAGTGGTTACTGGTAACTGGTTACTACTACTGAGAACCCTACCCCCACCCATCCATCACCACCCTACCCCCACCCATCCATCACTACCCTACCCCGTCCCATCCATCTCTACCCTACCCCCTCCCATCCATCACCACCCTACCCCCTCCCATCCATCACCACCCTACCCCCACCCATCCATCACTACCCTACCCCCACCCATCCATCACCACCCTACCCCCCACCCATCCATCACTACCCTACCCCCACCCATCCATCACCACCCTACCCCCACCCATCCATCACCACCCTACCCCCACCCATCCATCACTACCCTACCCCGTCCCATCCATCTCTACCCTACCCCCTCCCATCCATCACCACCCTACCCCCTCCCATCCATCACCACCCTACCCCCACCCATCCATCACTACCCTACCCCCACCCATCCATCACCACCCTACCCCCACCCATCCATCACTACCCAAACCCCCACCCATCCATCACCACCCTACCCCCACCCATCCATCACCACCCTACCCCCACCCATCCATCACCACCCTACCCCTCCCATCCATCACCACCCTCCCCCCCAACATCCATCACTACCCTACCCCCACCCATCCATCACCACCCTACCCCCTCCCATCCACCACCCTAACCCCCACCCATCCATCACTACCCTACCCCCACCCATCCATCACCACCCTACCCCCCCCATCCATCACCACCCTACCCCCTCCCATCCATCACCACCCTACCCTCACCCATCCATCACTCCCCTACCCCTCCCATCCATCACCACCCTACCCCCACCCATCCATCACTACCCTACCCCCACCCATCCATCACCACCCTACCCCACCCATCCATCACCACCCTACCCCCTCCCCATCCATCCCCCACCCTACCCCCACCCATCCATCACTACCCTACCCCCACCCATCCATCACCACCCTGTAGACAGCCTGTACTGTCAGGACAGCCTAAGCTGTCTGCTCTGACTAGTTCATATTTCGCGGCATTTAAGTGCTGCCCTCTGTAGGCTCACCCAGGTCAGTTGGAGGCTGGGACCATTCGCTCTCACTCCCCGGCCCAGGGACTTGATAGGCAGAAGTGCTCCCCCTCCACGGACTGGCTTGCGGTCATTCCCTCACATTGCCCGTTGTGTACTCACTCCTATCCAATTAAAGCCAAACTAGTCCACAGCCGTATCATTGCTACCTACGCTACCTCCTTCGGCACTAAACCGCTGTTCAACAGCAAGAACAGTAATAACAGTGGAGTCAAGGGCATTGTGAGCCTACTCGGGGTGGAGGGGTCGACGCCCATCAACACATCCGTCAACGCCAGTCAACATCATCTGTCGTCATCCAAAGCACCTGCTGGCCTAAAGAGTTATCTGTTACTCCCAGCGTCTTGACGGGGCCTGAGATAGATCTTCGTCCTAGATTTTTCCCACAAAATCTGGACAAAGGCGTCACGGTGTCATCTCCAGCCTTAGCAGTCACCTGTTCACCTCATCACCCTCTCTACAGCCCTTCAACACCCTCCAGCACCATTCTCCTGCCTCCTACAGCGTCCCTACGCCCTTCTCAGATACAAGTAGAGGTGAGGTCGTTTAGTGTGTTGGCTTTGCGTGGCTCCACGCGTGACCACGAGGCAGCTCTGGGGTTGGTTGATACCCTAGTCAGCGTGTAAACACACCAGCCTCCTCTACAACCTTCTCTGCTACGCAACTACGTCCATCTAGCCGTCCGTGTGTGTTGTGTTCTTCCCAGTTTCCTCCAAAAACACGGTCAAAGTTTTTTTTTTTCTCATTACGCACTGTGTGCAGCAGGATTTTTTTTTATATTGTGCACACTGACCACATAGACCCATTCTTTCACATGCAGGCCTACCAAGTTTTTCTCGCTAGATTTGAAGGCGCTAGAATTTATGTGCACTAGCACGTCACTATCCCTGGTGCGCCGTACTAGTACGTCAGAAACCCTGAAAGGGTTAATAATCCGGCATTATCAAGGCTGAAAATGGGAATATCAGCTGCAATCAAGAATTAGAAATTTCTTCAATGTCCTTTGTTGTGGTAAGTGTAAAAATTCCATATGAAGCAACTATAATGTGGTTGGAAAATAAGAGGACTCTGAATCTTCTGGGCAGCACACCACATGTTAAGTACACATTCTCTTTCAATAGTATGCAGGATTGGCAACTCTGTTAGCTATTGTTAGGGAGGTGTTAGCATGTGATCTACCAATTCTAGTGCATGACCCAAGAAATATTTGGGTGCATTTACGATGATATATAAAATTAATGCATGTCATTTATGCCTCCATGAGGAAGTGAAACAGAATTCTTCCTCTGTAAGCCATGTGTGTCATAAGAGGCGACTAAAATGCTGGGTGCAAGGGGCTAGTAAACCCCTTCTCCTGTATATACTACTAAATTTAAAAGGAGAAAATTTAGTTTTTCCTTTTGGGCCACCCGGCCTCGGTGGGATATGGCCGGTTTGTTGAAAGAAGATGTCATCTGTGCACATTATTCTCTCCTCATTGTATTATAATGTGTATACTCTGTGGATCAAACCACTAATTAGTAAGTCAGGTCATTAATATTACAATACAGTCCACACATTCTAATTTACCAGAGTTACTGGTTTTATTAAATGTTAATAAATTTATTCATAGGTGCAACTTTGTGTGAGTGTAGTTTGGAGTGGGTGGGCATTGAGGGAGGTGCAGTGTTGAGACCTTTTGTACCTGAAGTCCCACCTAGCTCTGAGGTGCAACTAACATCAGTGAGTACAACTATTATAGTTGTACCTGGCCCAAATTATATGCATGTAAGAATTCAGGTCAATACCTGTGAATCTCATGCATAAAATTTCTCACACTGCCTGTGGCTGCATGTGGCCTTTGCTTCCACTACATAATAATCACTAAATAATTTCCCTTTCTAATAATTTTCTCATACTTTATTATCACTCACCAACATATTCAACAATTATATAAATGCAGCTAGCATAAGTAAATGACTGTTAAGCCATAAAACTATGCAATTAGTGTAACTATTTGTCACTAGCCTCCTTGTACAATCTCCCCTTTGACCCAAGCATGTCAGGAAAACTAACAGGGAACAGTGTAGTAAAGAAAGTGAATGCCAGACTAAAGTTCCTCTACAGACAGACACAGTGTCGCAGTGTCTAGCTCTCATGTCTTGCTCTTCATGGCACTCTGCCTTAAAAAAAAAAAAAAAAAAAAAAAAACTAATTTAAGTTACAAATCACCCAGAACAAAACGATGAGATTCATCCCGGACCTGGGTCCCAGAAAGCATGTAGGTCAGAATGAATTACAACAACCGGATATGCTGAATGATGAAGACAGTAAATCAACCAAAGCTAAGTTACATTTATAAAATTTCTCACAACCAGTGTCCCCAATATCTTACTGCCAATTTTGTCCAGGCCGGAACCCAAAGCAATTACAGTACTGTACTAGGGTAAGGGAGAACAACTTTGCAGCACCTACAATCAGTGGTAAGGCTTCAGATACATTTTATTGTACAGCAATAAAGGAATGGAATAGACTACCTGCACATGTCAAAGCCTGTCATAGCATAAGCCAGTTCAAAAAAAAAGCCAAAATGTACCTAATGAATATGGCTACAGAAAGGGAAGAGAGTGATTTCTTGTATATCCAGCATACATGTACAATGATCTGATGCTATATTTAATGTCAACGTAAGTACGTATCTGATTTTACCTTACCCCTAGTATATATCGTTTCATTATAACTACTTTTAACATAGTTAAGATACTTACCTGTTTTTAACTTTTAAGTATAATTAATGCCTATCACAAGGACCCCACTGGTCACTCTGTCTGACTTTTTGGGTTATCCTAGATAATCTACACACATGCTGCTATGTATGACAATCTATGTAACTGTATTCATGTGTACCTGTATCTGAATAAAAACTTACCCACACTTCTACTCTCATTTAACCACAATTTTCTTAGAAATTATTAGTTACGAGCTTCATTTTCTTCTTGACACATCCAGTATCACTGTTACTCTTTTTGGGTGCCAAGATTAATATTCAGAGATAAGACTGGGTGATATGATGGACAACAGAGCACAAATAAAGGCTACAAGGGTCAACCATGGCTGATGCTCAACACTTCACTACATAAATTCCTCAGTGACATTACCACACTGTATTATCAATCACCAATATAATCAACAGTTATATAAATGCAGCTAACATAGGTAAATAACTGCTTATGGTATAAGTATGTGTAATTACAGTGTAGTTGTGTGTTAAACTAGCCATGTGCACAACCACCTACCAGACGCATTAACCACCACTTCTATATCCACAATCACAACCACAGTCTTTGAAATGTGCCAGTGTGCCATAATGGTAATGGTGTGCTACTATTGGAAGTTAAAAAGTAAATTTAAGCTGAATATTGAAAATGCAAGCTATGGGTGTCTACTGTACATAGTGGGGGTTCTGCTGGGCGAGGGAGACGAGCTGGTGTAGAGAAAAGAAAGAGGCTACTCACTCTTGGTTATAGGTGGCAGGGTCCTGTGGGGCACCGATGACAAGGACACCATCTTCGTTGTAGTGGAGACCCGTAACACTTGCATCAGCAAAAGTACTGATAAAAGGACCTAAATTTTGGAAAGCTGCTACCCGCACCCATCTGCAAAACACCGTAATCATGTAATACATACCCACAACAAAAATAATATACTCACTAGTAATTAGTAGAATACTGTTACACTATTTCCCTTATACTTTATACATACTAGACCAGATACGCAAAAAGCCGAGTACAACCTGGCATCCTTTACCTGCTCTGGTCAGTTAGTAAAGATACGAAGACAGGTGAGAGCATATTTTTTCTAGTAGGTAGTGAGCAAGCGCAGGACACACCCATGAAGACCTCAGCACAAGCCTTTCTTACACCCCATACACCGTCCTCACATAGGTTCATAAACCGAGATACCTGCAAGTAAAAATCAGCAATGAAATAGTGTCGACTCCTGACATACTGGTGATCAGTTCTGAGTACTTTCTTTACTCCATTAGCCAGGCCTGTAACCACTTTTCTTGTGATACCCGATCAGCCAGGCTATTGCTACCTGTAAACCACAGACCCAGCAACCATTCATCAACCCAGCAACTGGAAGTTTTCATCAAAGAGTAAGCTGTGTGGGTGGTACTTCGCATGTGACACTTTACAACGATCACTAAGTTAGGAAAGCACTTATCAAAATTTGAGATACAGTATACCTTTGACAGGTTTCAATTATTTTCCTAGTACCACAACTTGTCTGGTTCCTGCCTGATCAAGCAGGCTGCTGGCAGCCTGGTGACCCATATATCCATCACAGCCTGGTTGATTTGTACTTCTCGGAGTGAAAAACAGATACAGTGGACCCTCGGTTATTGGCCATAATCTGTTCCAGAAGGTCGGCCTAAAACCAAAATGGCTGAAAACCGAAATAATATTTCCCAAAAGAATTAATGTAAATCCAATTAATCCATTTCAGACACCCAAAAATATTAACAAAAAATACATTTTTTAAAGATTAACTATAGTTGTACATACACAAAACAATAAGAACAAAATAAAATGACTAACGAAATGGATAAATTAACATTTAAATCACTTTTACCTTTAATGAAGAGTCTTGTTGGTGTATGAAAAATGGCGAGGAGCGGAGAGGGAAGAGAGTTTACTGTTTGGAGACAGGACAAAATGCTTAAGTATGACGCTATTATCAACTCTACGGCTTATTTATCTATCACAATTCATCTAATATGACATAATAAACAATATTAACAACACAGAAATATATATACTCTAGAATGAATAACATATGTCATTACATATGTGGTGTTGGTGTTGGGTTTATAAGGGCCACTGACAGCATAAGCCATACATATAGTGGTGGTGGAGGTGGCAGCAGAGGCCACCACCACTATTCACACAAACAATGTATGGAATTTATAAATAAGATATATTTACACTTACCTTGGAGGAGATGCTGGCATTGGTTTAGGGTAGTGGAAGATATTCAGAGGGTGGCATATACTGTCAGTGGCCCTATATACTTCCAAAATCATTGGAGGAGTCAGTTTCGTGTCGTCCATTTTCTATCGCTTAATCACTTAACTTACTTGTTACACTGTTAATACTACAGTTTATCGCTGGCTGGCACTATAGCCTTTACTGACTCCTGCTGCTTTTGTATCATACATATCGAAGAATCACTGAAACAGTGAAGGAGGCACATTCTCCCCTCTTTCTCCTGCCTTCACTCATACTTTTCAACAACTTCTTTCTTAAATTCCATCGTGTTTCTCACTTTCTTTACCATAGGAACTTTACTAGGAACTTTCATGGTTGTTTATTTCACAGTTGCACTCGATCAATAACCACAAAAAATAATAGATTATGGCAAAATATTTGGATGAATGACCGGAAGTTTCCTCACCCGCCCAAAGACACAGCCAGACTGAGTCACGAACAAGCGAGCAGCTGGCGGGTGGTCAGGTGGACGCATCCAATACGGCCGATTAGCAAAATAATGGCCAATATCTGGAATAAAATTTTGGCCCAAAAACTGGGTGATAACCAAGTTGGCTGATATCCGGAACGGCTGATAACCAAGGGTCCACTGTACCTGATAATGTACACATGGAAGATACTAAGGGCTTTAGTCCCAAATCTGCACACTGTCATAACACAGTAGCGTGAGTTTGTATGGAAGTGTAAAATAGATGCAGTGCAAAATAGATGCAGTGAAAAGCAAAATGAGAAAATTGTGTCAACACCCATGGTCCAAGACTATTTACCTTAATACCAGAAGATATCATGCATACCGCTGGAATAAGTGTACATGTTTTCAGGAGGAAACTGGATTACTACCTTCTTCAAGTACCTCAACACTAGTCACAGGTATAGCTGCTTCTTGAAAATTTATATCTTTGTACTCACAATAATTCTAATACAGTGGAACCTTGGTATGTGACCTTAATTCATCCCAGAAGGCTGTTCAAGTGCCACTCCGTTTGAGTATCGAACAGGTTCTTCCCAACCAATTTTCTGTTTGGTTGGCTGTTATCACTAATCGTCATAGGCCCCATGGTGACTTATTTAGATAATGCAAAGAAACACAAAATAGTTTACAGCAAAGTTCTGGCAGGTCTTATTTGTTTGGGCGAGTGCTGAGCTTTGTTCGAGTAGGCAGCTGGTCGTATACTGAGGTTCCACTGTATATGGTGGCAGTAGGTGATACATAGTCTTGGGGCCACCACAGCTTGACTTATGAGCTGACTTTACGAACTTCTCAAGTTGCCTCTTGAAGATGAAAAGCAGAGGGTGTACTCATTACACCTCCTGCTTTTCATTAAGGATATTATGCACTGTTTACCAAGTCTCTTACTTCTGCTGGGTGTAATTTTGGTGCACAGATTTGGGTTTAATTAATCCCTCAAGAATTTCCCAGGGCAGTGACTTCTTAGTACATTCTCCATATCTGTTATGTTGTATATCTTAAACAGAGCTATTAGTGTACAGAAATATTCCAGCCAAAAGAGAAAAAGTGACAAACTTTTTAGTGTCATCAATGGCTCAGTAGCACTTTTGTTCTGAAGCTTCTAGTTATGCAGCTTATCATTTTCTTTGCAGTTGTGATAATAACACTTTTGACATTCTCTAACAAGATATTACAGTGTTATTTTTAGATTTATGACCTCTCCTGATTTATTGAGTGGTATAAATATGTTTTATACTCCATTATACAGTATATTTGTAAGTCTTAATAATTTCCACAGTAGAGTAACTGAAATTTTTACTTGTGAACACCATACTGTATCTGTGGCTCACTGCAAGCTGAATGTACTCAACAGATAACACACTCACATTCTAGTATTATGCAAGGATAATATAATGCTATGATTGAAGTCAATAAATATATGTTGGTGGCAGTGGCGGTCTCTTTATTCAACTTTCTTCAACATTTCTCTTTGGCTCCATTTTGTTAGAAAACTAAAGACATGTATGCAAATTTTTGCAGGTAGTATTCATTTTGCAAGTACTTTGTGAGGTGGGGCTAGCAATCTGCCATGAGTAATTGCACCTGGTCATCCATCTATATGATCAATCACATACAAAGTATATTTGACAAACGTCTGCAGATGTTGAAACAACTTGATCACTTTTAGCACAAATATTCCTCACTAACACAAAAATTTACCGACCTTTTGATTTTAAGTAAAGTAATGTTTATACAATGTATCTTTGATATGTTTGATGATATGATTGTTTTTTCCTACCAAGCTGCCAGCCTGGCCCAGACTGGCCAGAGCTGGCCAAGCCTAGCCTGGCACAGCTTCTGTTCAATAAGTAGCAGACTCAGTAAGGTGGTTACAACCCATGGCAGTAAACTGTAAAACTCCAGGTCTGTTGCATATTCACTGGAAAAACTGGTACAATAGATTCATCAATAGTATATCTATACACAAAGGAGTAGATGGACACCAGTGAAAACCTGTATTACGATTTTCTGAGTCATGATACAGGTAGCAGTTTCATTGATAGATTAATCACAGCAGCAACACTAACAAAGATTAGCAATAGTAGTATAAGCCAGTGACTGTTTGGTTAGCCAGCAAATGTTATGTAAGCAGTGACTTTTGTGGTTAGCAGCAAATGTTAGTGGATAGCCAGTGACTTTTGTGGTTAGCCAGCAAATGTTATGTATAGCCAGTGATGTTGTGGTAGCCAGCAAATTTTTGGGTATAGCCATGATAATTGTGGTAGCCACAATGTTAGTGTAAGCCAGTGATTTTGGTTAGCCTCAATGTTAGGAACGCCATACTGTGTCTTTAGCCACAAAGTTAGTGAAGCTGACGTTGTGCTTAGCCAAATGTTTAAGTACTAGCCAGTGACATTTGTGCTTTAGCCAGCAAAGTAGTGGTATAGCCAGTGATGTTTGTAGTTTAGCCAGCAAATGTAGTGGTAAGCCAGTGCGGTTTGTGCTTTAGCCAAGCAATGTTAGTGTAAGCATGACTGTTTGGCTTAGCCGCAAATTTAGTGTTAGCCATGACTGTTAGTGCATTATGCGCAAATGTTAGTGGTATAGCCAGTGACTGTTTGTGCTTTAGCCGCAAATGTAGTGTATGCAGTGACTGTTTGGCTTTAGCCACAATTTGTGTATAGCCAGTGATGATTTGTGCTTTAGCCACAAATGTTAGTGTATAGCCAGTGCTGTTTGTGGGTTAGCCTACAAATGTTAGTGGTAATAGCCATGACTGTTGTGCTTACAGCAAATGTTAGTATGCAGTGACTTTGTGCTTTAGCACAAATTTATGATAGCCAGTGACGTTTAGTGGTTAGCCACAAAGTTAGGGTATAGCCAGTGACACTTTTTGTGGTTTAGCCAGCAAATTAGTGTTATAGCAGTACTGTTTTGCTTTAGCCAGCAAATGTTTGTATGCCAGTGACTGTTTGTGTTTCCCTAGCAAAGTTAGTGGTATAGCCAGTGACTGTTTGGGGTTAGCCAGAAATGTTAGTGGTAAGCCAGGACTGTTTGGCTTTAGCCAGCAAATGTAGTGTCATAGCGTGACTGTTTGTGGTTACAGCAAATGTTAGGGTACAGACCAGTGACTGTTTGGGGTTAGCCATGCAAAGTTAGTGTATAGCCATGACTGTTGTGTTAGCGCAAATGTTCATGGGTAAGCCAGTACTGTTTGGCTTAGCAGCATATGTTAGATGTATAGCCATGACTAGTTATTGTTAGCCAAAGTTAGTGTTAGCCAGTGACTTTGTGTAGCCAAAACTGTTAGTGTATAGCCAGGACTTTTGTGCTTTAGCAGCAATGATACTAGGTATAGCCAGTGACTGTTTGTGGGTTAGCCAGCATAATGTTGTCATAGCATGACTGTTGGTTAGCCAAGCAAATGATTAGTGGTATAGCCAGTGACTGTTTGTGCTTT